TGTATCCTTATACTTTTCATCTATAGATTTTACCCTCAGGGGTTTTTTTTTAATGCTCTCTGAACATTACTCCCATTTCAGTTAAGCTTGTCTGGCCAAATTTGGTTGTCCTCCAGAGTCTGACCTCTTTTTGCTTGGCGCTTGTTTCACCAGGTTGAAGTGGTCCTTTAGGTCTCAGTTTTTCCCGTATGGGGTGCCTTACTTAAACCAAGGTGCCTCGGGGCCAGTGCTAGTTTCCTAGATACTGGAGGAAAGCAAGCAAGGAAGGAGTAAAGAATCCAGTCACTTGACTGCATTATCCTCTTCAAACCGAGATTTTAAAGCAAGGACAAGGAAAAATTTCAAGGCTGCAGCCTTTCACAGTCCTCTGAGGGACAAAACTCAAATATAGTTCTTGCCTTGAAGGTGGTCACAAACAAAAAGGGTAAATGATTCTAAGGTTTACATATAGACCTAAAAGAGAGATACATACAATGGAAATTTAATCTTGTAATTCTTTGCAGGCAGCAGTAATTTATAGGTTAAAGTCCTGGTTGTAGTTTAATTATAAAGTATGTTCATTTATTAGTATTTATCACTATGGTGACTTCTTTAGCCAAAGATTATCTAAACTGAACTCTCAGAGCTAACAGAAGTAATCATGTTGCAGTGAGAGCAACAGTCCTCGGTCTCTACCCGTTGTTTTCTATGTGACCTTGGCAATTCAACCAACCTCTTTGAGGCTGTTTTTTTGGTAAGAAATGGAAAGAACATATGGCAACAGGGATTTGTAAAGTGCCATATGAATATATATATTTAAATTAAGTGCTTTGTGAGAAAATTATTTACCCAAAAGAAAGTAGACTTCCACCAAATATGCAGTTCATTAATACAGATACCTCTCCCTGATAGGGAGTAGTGAATAATAAATGAGGATGAATTCAAATAAATTATCCCTGACAATAGAAGGATAAATATGACCTCAAGAAATCTGCTAATACTTTTTTTTTTTTTTTTAAATCATACTATTAGCTCAGTTTTTGTCTTTAGGAAACTAGAATGTGCCAACAGGATAGAATCATCATCCTCAGGGATTTCTAAGCTGATTTCTCAGAGGCATCCTGGGAGGTTATGGAGAAACCAGGGCCCCAGCCGTCAGAGTCCATCAGTTTGTGTAAGGCTTTGGGGACTTGAAACACAGAAGGTTCCACAGTCACAGAGCTTGAAAATCTGTTCAACATCTTGGGTTCTTTGGGGGCTAAGTCACAAGGGCCTGAGCTATTACTGTCTCTCAGGTTTTTAACTCCTTGATGTCACTGTCCCATCCATGAGAACCACACAGGTATGTGTCACTCTCTGCTACTTAATCCAGCAGTTGACCCTTCAGAACTGTTGGCTCATAAGAATATAAGGTTATATGTATGAGAGTAAGGTTCAAGTACATGGATAAAATATGAAGCCTATAGATCTAAAAGATCACCTACCTTTACCAGGTGTATCGAACAGGATCTCAACAGGAAACAACATTCTCAAAATAATGAAGGGCTATTTTTAAAGATATGGGCAAAGGATAGATAGGTCAGTAACTGGAGGCTAATAACTGTATTAGGCCTAAAAAGATAAAAGGAGTTATTGGTTTCTAGGTCCTGGAGGGGGAGAGTGCCTTGAGAGAAGCAGTGACTTTTTTTTTTTTTTTTTTTTTTTAGAAAAAGGCGGAGGGTGGGGGTGAGTGGTGTGATCTCAGCTCACCAAAACTTCTGCCTCCCAGGTTCAAGTGATTTTCGTGCCTCAGCTTCCCGAGTAGCTGAGATTACAGGAGGGAACCACTGCACCTGGCAAATGTCAATACATTGACTTAAGTCTTTTCTCTTTCCCCAGTCTCCTGTCAGGGCTCCCTATTGGCTGAATCCAACTGGATGCCAAAGCACAGGAAGCCCATTGATGTTCATATAGGTCAGTCTCCCAGGACAGAGAACAGCCTACAGAATAGAGGAGTGTAATCTGGAAGGAAAGAAAGAAAACATCCAGCATACCTAGAGATGAAGACCCTATTCATTCCCTACAAGAGAGATTATCTTTTACTCTTCTTGCTCAATTATTGCTGGCCAGAAACTCTATGCAGATACCCCCAAATTAGTTTTGGAGCAAAATTTACTATGGGGAGCTTATAGGAAATGCTGCTTGGATTATATTTTTCTTCTCAGTTTCTTTCATTCTTTTTTTTTTTTTTTTTTTTTTGAGACAGAGTCTTGCTCTGTTGCCCAGGCTGGAGTGCAGTGGCGCCATCTCCGCCTCCTGGGTTCAAGCAATTCTCCTGCCTCAGCCTCCCGAGTAGCTGGGATTACAGGGATGTGCCACCATGCCCGGCTGAGTTTTGTATTTTCAGTAGAGACGGGGTTTCACCATGTTGGCCAGGCTGGTCTCGAACTCTCAACCTCAGGTGATCCGCCCCAGTTTGGCAGCTTTTTTTTTTTTTGAGACGGAGTCTTGCTCTGTCACCCAGGCTGGAGTGCAGTGGCGCAATCTTGGGTCACTGCAAGCTCTGCCTCCTGCCTCAGCCTCTTGAGTAGCTGGGACTACAGGCGCCTGCCACCATGCCCGGTTAATTTTTATATTTTTAGTAGAGACGGGTTTTCACCATGTTAGCCAGGATGGTCTCAATCTCCTGACCTTGTGATCTGCCCGCCTCGGCCTCCCAAAGTGCTGGGATTACAGGCCTGAGCCACAGTGCCTAGCCCTCAGTTTCTTAAATGCAAATCTGAGATGAATTAAGCTGCCCAAGGCTAGTGAATAAAATAGCATTCTGACAAAAGGGAAACCACAGAGGAAAGTACATTAATTAACTCAATGCAGAAATTGTAGTTTTAGAAAGAACAATTTTAGCCTGGGTGCCATGGCTCACGCCTGTAATCCCAGCACTTTGGGAGGCCGAGACAGGCAGATCACGAGGTCAGGTGATCGAGACCATCCTGGCTAACACAGTGAAACCCGGTCTGTACTAAAAATACAAAAAATTAGCCAGGTGTGGTGTTGGGCACCTGTAGTCCCAGCTATTTGGGAGGCTGAGGCAGGAGAATGGCGTGAACCCGGGAGGTAGAGCTTGCAGTGAGCTGAGATTGCGCCACTGCACTCCAGCCTGGGCGACAGAGCGAGACTCTATCTCAAAAAAAAAAAAAAAAAGGACAATATTTACAAGTGTGTGATTCTGCAAAGTCAACTTATTTTTACAACTATATGGTAAGGATAATACCCACCTTGCAAGATGGGTATTTATATGTATATGCAGAGTACTTAGCACATTGCCATACACGTAGCAAAATCTTAAAACATGGTGGCTATTGTTATTATTTATAATATTGGGCCCTATCCCAAACTTTCCTTTCCTTTACAGAACTACCCTTAAACATTAGGACTGGTTATAGGAGCAGACTGCAACCCCACACTTTTGTTCAGAAGTCTCCTATAGTCTTAACTTACTCTATTACCTATCAGATGTCTTACACAAGCCTTACATAGTTGTAGTTATCACTAGATTGCTCCCATGTCAGCCTTCACCTGTATTTTTCACCTATTGGTCTCCTTGGAGTAGAGGGTTCTTTATCACAGAGGAAGGAACTCTTAGGAAAGCTGCCCTAGCTCATGATTTTTCCCATTATTTAAGAGTATCACCCAGCCGGGCACAGTGGCTCACGCCTGTAATCCCAACACTTTGGGAGGCCAGTGCAGGTGGATCACCTGAGGTCAGGAATTTGAGACCAGCCTGGCCAATATGGTGAAACCCCGTCTCTACTAAACATACAAAAATTAGCTGGGTGTAGTGGTGCATGCCTATAATCCCAGTTACTAGGGAGGCTGAGGCAGGAGAATCACTTGAACCTGGGAGGCAGAGGCTGCAGTGAGCCGAGATTGTGCCACTGCACTCCAGCCCGGGCAGCAGCGTGAGACTGTCTCAAAAAAAAAAAAAAAAAAAGTATCACCCATCAGAGAACTCTAGGTTCCTATCTCTCCAGTTCCCCCCAACTTTCCCATCTTGATAATTTCTCTCACCAGGATTTAATTCAACAAGATTTTTAGTTCTTTGGTTCTTAAGGCTCCTCAAGTTCCTGCCTTTTTTTCCATCAGCACAGCCAAGACTATATATATTGCTTAAGTGCCTGCCAGAATTACCTTCTATTAGTTGAATATGTGCACGGGATTTGCTGACTATATGTATTTACCAAAAAGAAATTATCTGCATGTACCCTAGTACATGGTAGGTGACCAATTTCCTAAATATTGACTTTGAGAACTTGCTGAAGATTCCAGTCGCTGAACACAGATGCTTATATGTCCTTAACTTTGGACAGGCTCAAAGCTAATTTTATAAAGAAAGGTATCCTTCTTGCCAACAAAACAGCTTTTCAGAACTCTGTACACTAGATGGGACACCCATCTTGCTAGTCAAATTGGTTTGTTCACCCCTGGCTATCAATGGGGATTGTGCTACTACCAGACTGACCCTCCTATTTTTAAATATAAATGTGTGCTGATTTTGGACTAAGATAGCAGAAGCACCCTATTAACCAAGAAGAGCTGAGAAGCTGGCAAAGTAAATCTACTCTTTCCAAGCACTCCTGAATCTGATGTTTTTCCCCATACATCTCAGCATTGACTTTACTCCCACACAAGGCACATAATCATTTTCTTCAGCTACTTTTCTCCTCCCTTAGTTGTTTGCTTTTAGGGAAGGGAGTGGGGGATGAGAGAAAGAAGGAAAATGTACATTTAACAAGTCAGTCAAAAGCTCTCCTAATTCTCATTTCATTTCTTACCTCAACTTGCTCTGCCTGTCAAGAATACCACGCTGAGAGAGGTGGATAAGGAAAAGGCAGTGGGCATGCATGGGTTAGTAGATCTATACCCCTCCCCCTTCAATTAGCTCAGTTGGACAGGGAAAATGAGCTCTGTGGTTCACCTGTGATCAGAGAATAGATACAAATTTTTGCCCAGGAGATGAAAACAAATTCAATGGCACCCTGAAATGGTCAGCTCTGACATTTTATTGAGAAATATTTTTATTTTAAATGATAGTACAAAAACTGCATATATAATATAGATCTGTATAAGTATATATACATACAAATGCTCATACACACATATACACACAAACTTGCTCATCAGAATAAAACCCTATTCTAAATAAAGAAGTATATTTAAGTTTTTCTAAAAATATGCTGTACATAAAGCTGTCAGACAACCTGAAAAACTGAGGACATTGTGAGAATAGTCTGGGCGCATCCCCCCAACAAACACCTGCTCCAGTACACACACAAATGGCCTTGACAGAAGGACAGCACATGCGGCAAAGCCAGGGACAGAGCTGCTACCATCATTGTTGCTATAACAAGATGTCTAAAGCCAACTAGGAAGCACAGGATATAGAAGGTGACCTAGATTAACTTTCAGAAACAAACCACCTCAGAATAAACAAAAAATATGGGGTAGAGAAGGAGGGGAATGGAGAGAGAAAAGACAAGCCCCAAACATTAGAAATGACCTACTAACTAAATTCAGGTGCCTGGGAAAGCCTCAATGAGAGAGGAACAATAGAATCACTAAAGCAGAAAAGGTAGGGGGAGGGGGGTATAGGGAATCACAATTTCCTGCCACTAACATGCCAAACTGCTACTGTAGAGTCTAGGAATGTCACCTCACCCCCTAATACTAAAGAGGCTAAAAAATAAAATAAAAATTTACAAAGGGCAGCATCAGAGACTAAAAAAAAAAAAAAAATGGCATAGGAAATAAGAGTACTACTCAGAAGGGGGACATAGTCACCACATAAAATAGAGACAGATGAGAGCCTAGAGTGCATACAGGTGGTCATGACATATAGTCCATTCTGAAGCTCCTTTTCTAGCCATCCAGAGATGGGTCTGCACAAGGAGTAGAGAAGAGGAAGCCTTCTCTAATAAATTAGGACAAAAACTGATTCCCACTCCACATGAAACTTTCAGGAAGAGTTCAGTAAGTGCCTCAAATTTTCCAGCTCTGGAGGTCTGTAATGATAGGAGAGAGCCACACAAGCTTTCTTAAAATGGTCATCATCATACTGGTGAGAAAAAGAAAAAAAGAGGCTGGGCACGGTGGCTCACACCTGTAATCCCAGCACTTTGGGAAGCCGAGGAGGGCAGATCACGAGGTCAGGAGTTCGAGACCAGCCTGGCCAATATGGTCAAACCCCGTCTCTACTAAAAATACAAAAATTAGCCGGACTTGGTGGTGCACACCTGTAATCCCAGCTACTCAGGAGGCTGAGGCAGAAGAATCGCTTGAACGTGGGAGATGGAGGTTGCAATAAGCCAAGATCATGCCATTACACTCCAGCCTGGGCAACAGAGAGAGACTCTGTCTCCAAAAATAAAATAATAATAATCATCATCATTTCTCAAACTGATATTTCTTTTTTTTTCTTTCTTTTTTTTTTTTGTGAGCCACCCTGCCCGGCCTCTTTTTTTTTTTTTTTTTCTCACCAGTATGATGATGCACCCAGCTAATTTTTGTATTTTGAGTAGAGACTGGGTTTTGCCATGTTGGCCTGGCCTCAAGTGATCCTCCCGCCTCGGCCTCCCAAAGTGCTGGGATTACAGGCATGAGCCACCGTGCCCGGCCAGCAGCTTTATTTTATTTTATTCTATTTATTTATTTTGAGACGGAGTCTCGCTCTGTTGCCCAGGTGATCTGTTGCAGTGGGGCGATCTCGGCTCACTGCAAGCTCTGCCTCCCGGTTTCACGCCATTCTCCTGCCTCAGCCTCCCAAGTAGCTGGGACTACAGGTGCCTGCCACTGCGCCCAGCTAATCTTTTGTATTTTTAGTAGAGCTGGGGTTTCACCATGTTAGCCAAGATGGTCTTGATCTCCTGACCTCGTGATCCACCCGCCGTGGCCTCCCAAAGTGCTGGGATTACAGGCATGAGCCACCACGCTCGGCCAGCAGCTTTATTTTAAAGTAGACAACCATCCTAAGCTTGAAGTTTCTCGTGCTCAAGCACCAACGCTGATCCATTTCTCTGTTTTTCCTTTTTCTTTTCTTTCCTTTTTTTTTTTTTTTTTTTTTGAGACACAGTCTCGCTTATTGCCCAGGCTGGAGTGCAGTGGCACAATCTCAGCTCACTGTAAACTCCACCTTCTGGGTTCAAGCAGTTCTGCTGTTTCAGCTCCAGAGTAGCTGGGACTACAGGCGTGTGCCATCATGCCCAACTAATTTTTGTATTTTTGGTCGAGACGTGGTTTTGCCATGTTGGCCAGGCTGGTCTTGAACTCCTGACCTCAAGTGATCTACCCGCCTCAGCCTCCCAAAGTACTGGGATTACAGGCGCGAGCTACCATGCCCTGCCATTTTTGTCTGCTATTTGATTCTTAATAATCCAACCTTGCCAATAAGCCAGTTGGAATCCTCTAACCCAGAAGATCTAAGCAATATTTCCCCAACTTCCATGACTAATCCAGAAAGACATACCAAATCATGAAATGGTATTGCCATTAATGTATTCAATACTTAATTTCTAATTACTTCAAAGCATCCTCACCTGCCATTCTCTCCATAGCAATACAATTGGAGATCAAATCCTATTTCCCTTATCTGGGATGCCAAGAGGACTGTTCTGAGTAAATAAAAATGAATGCCTTTTTCTTACTTTTTTTTCAGATACCTCCATTCTCTCCCTCTCTACCCCAGCCTCTCCTCTAACAAACTCCCCTGTCTCAGAGACCCCTCATAAAAAATGACTTGGCCTGTATTAGAGATTTTGGGGGTTGGGGAGGTAGGAATGATAGCTTCTGCAAAAAGAACAATAAGATCTGCTAAAGAATTCCCCCCAAAAAGTGGTGACTGTATACTCAGAAGGACATGTTAGATGGACATTCTCTGCCTTTCGTCAGTAGCTACCCCAGAGAATGAGCTGGTTGGGCCTGAATATCATCTGCAGAGTTAACCTCCTCCCCCTTAATGGGCGGGGTGTGGGGAAAGAGGGATTAAAGTCAACATATGCACCGAGAACATAAATAAAAGACATCTAAAATGATACTTGGTTCCTCTATCATTAAATAAGGCTCCGAAATCCCACACATAACAGCTTCTTGTTAGCACCTGGTTCCCAAAGGGACTCAGAAAAAATAAAAACATTGCAAACAGGAAACGATTATTTGACAGCAGATAGAACAATTTCATCATCACCCTTACCTAGGCTACTCCCCCTCACATTTCCCTGTCATCCCCAACAGCCCAGAATATTCTCCAATCTGAGAAGTGTTCAGTATCAGACCTGTGGAGAAAATCTAGCTAAGGTGGCCAGTAGCCAAGGTTAATTTCCAAACTGATATTTTTGCCTATAAATCTCTAATAACCAATTCTGTTTGTTAAATATGGTTTTGGGAGTTAAGTTTTCAGTCTATTTTGAGACCCAAATGATTCTGCTCCTCTGACAACACTGCAGCAAATTACTTCACTAATCAAGGTAAACAGAACCATGTTAACTGTCAGGTTTTTTTCCAAATTAAAAATGCATGTTTTCCCCATGACTGCTAATTAAGAAAACCATATTCTAAACAGTCATTCAAATGTTTACTTGGCACATCTCCCTCTGGTTTATTCTAATTTATAACAAAGCAAGCAAGTCTAGAATGATGAGGGCCCAGTTTCAAAGGCAATAACCTCTGTAATGTAACCTGTTCATAACCTTTCTCTCTCCACCCATATTCCCTTTCTTTGGGAAAAACTCCATGCTGACAGACAAAGAAAACCCAGCAGGTGGCCGGGCGCGGTGGCTCACGCCTATAATCCCTGCACTTTGGGAGGTCGAGAAGGGCAGATCACCTGAGGTCAGGAGTTGAAGACCAGCCCAACCAACATGGAGAAACTTCATCTCTACTAAAAATACAAAATTAGCCGGACATTGTGGCGCATGCCTGTAATCCCAGCTACTCGGGAGGCTGAGGCAGGAGAATCGCTTGAACCCAGGAGACAGAGGTTTCGGTGAGCCGAGATGATGCCATTGCATTCCAGCCTGGGCAACAAGAGCGAAACTCCATTTAAAAAAAAAAAAGAAAAGAAAAGAAAAAGAAAACCCAGCAGTTAAACACTTTCCAAAAGTGGGCAGAGGAAGTGTAGGCATAGTGGGAGAGAAAGGAGGAAGACAAAGTAGCCAGAATCTTTGGTTCTTTATGGCACTGATAGTTCTTATTCCCTTTGTCAACACACACTGAGCACCCTATAAGGCACAAAGCTCCGTAATAGACCAAGCTTAGGGAAACAGAGCAATTTACTCATGCCAGATCAAAAGGAAATAAAACTAAACAACATCATCAGCATTTACCTCCAACCCCCTTTTTGTTACACGTAAGAGGATAAGATATAAGCTCCACAGAAAAGCATAATGTATCCTAAATGACACTTAGAAAATTCAACAAAGTTTGATAAAATTAAAGAGTCTAGGCTGGGCTTGGTGGCTCATGCCTGTAATATCAGCACTTTGGGAGGCTGAGGCACGCGGATCACCTGAGGCTGGCAGTTTGAGACCAGCCTGACCAACACAGAGAAACCCTGTCTCTACTGAAAATACAAAATTAGCTGGGCATGGTGGCACATGCCTGTAATCCCAGCTACTTGGGAGGCTGAGGCAGGAGATTCACTTGAAACCGGGAGGTGGAGATTGCGGTGAGTTGAGATCACGCCATTGCACTCCAGCCTGGGCGACAAGAGCAAGACTCTGTCTCAAAAAAAAAAAAAAAAAAAAAAAGAAAGACTGAGCTTGACATTACATAAATGTTTGGAAACAAGTTGTTCTGACAAGAGAGTACCCTCCTCACTGTAATTTTATAAAATCCAGTCAGAGCAAAATTTATATCTCAAGACCAGAGTTTCAAAGCCCCCATAAGCCTTTTTCTGGCCACTTCCCAGCACTGTGGAAACACAGCCTGGATTTTGGTTTTATATATACTCCTCCCACATAAACAAGTTTTCTTTCCTTTCTAGTGTGGTTTTGTTTTTTTTTTTTTTTTTTTTTTTAAATGGAGTTTCACTCCTGTTGCCCAGGTTGGAGTGCAGTGGCGCCATCTCGGCTTACTGCAACTGCCGCCTCCGGGTTCCCAGCAATTCTCCTGCCTCAACCTCCCAAGTAGCTGAGATTATAGGCATGTGGCCACCACACCTGGCTAATTTTGTTTTGTTTTGTTTGTTTGTTTGAGATGGAGTCTCACTTTATCGCCCAGGCTGGAGTGCAGTGGCATGATCTTAGATCACTGCAACCTCTGTCACCCAGGTTCAAGAGATTCTCCTGCATCAGTCTCCCTAGTAGCTGGGATTACAGGCGCCTGCCACTTCGCCTGGTGAATTTTTGTATTTTTAGTAGGGTTTCACCATCCGTGCTAGGCTGGTCTTGAACTCCTAACATCATGATCCACCCGCCTCGGTCTCCCAAAGTGCTGGGATTACAGGCGTGAGCCACTGGGCCCGGCCCTAATTTTGTATTTTTAGTAGAGACACGGTTTCTCCATGTTGGTCAGGCTGGTCTGGAACTCCCGACCTCAGGTGATCTACTGGCCTCGGCTTTCCAGTTCAGTTTTTAAAAACTCTATTTCAGTTTCCTTTTTTTTTTTTTTGAGACAGAGTCTGGCTCTGTCGCCCAGGCTGGAGGGTAATGGTGTGATCTCAGCTCACTGCAACCTCCGCCTCCCAGGTTCAAGCAATTCTCCTGCCTCAGCCTCCCAAATAGCTGGGATTACAGGCGGGTGCCACCACACCTGGCTAATATTTTCTATTTTGTTTTGTTTTGGTTTGTTTTTTTGAGATGGAGTCTCGCTCTGTCACCAGGCTGGAGCGCGGTGGCGAGATCTCGGCTCACTGCAACCTCTGCCTCCTAGGTTCAAGCGATTCTCCTGCCTCAGCCTCCCAAGTAGCTGGGACTACAGGTGTGTGCCACTATACCCAGGTAATTTTTGTATTTTTAGTAGAGATGGGGTGTCACCATGTTGGCTAGGAAGATCTCGATCTCTTGACCTCGTGATCCGTCCACCTCCGCCTCTCAAAGTGCTCGGATTACAGGTGTGAGCCACCACGCCTGGCCTAGTTTCCTTTTTCCTTTGAGATACAGTCTTGCTCTGTCACTCAGGCCTGGAGAGCAGTGGTGCAACCACGGCTTAGTGCAGTTTTGACCTCCAAGGCCCAAGGGATCCTCCCACCTCAGCCTTCGGAGTAGCTGGAACCATAGGTGCCTGTCACCATATTTGGCTAATTTTAAAATTTTTTGTAGACACACGTTTCTCACTATGTTGCCCAGGCTCATCTCAAACTCCTGGACTCAAGCAGTTCTCCCATTTCAACGTCCCAGTGTTGGGATTACAGATGTGAGCCACCACACCCAGCTTATTTCAGTTTCTTACACAAGCATCTGAGCTACAGACACACAATGGATGCATATCTGTCAGACAATCAAAAATTTCTTTTCAGTGATGTGGTGGCATATGCCTTTCATCCCAGCTACTCGGGAGGCTGAGCCCTGGAGGCAGAGGTTGCAGTGAGCCAAGACTGTACCACTGTACTCTAGCCTGGGTGACAGAGTCAGACCGTGTCTCAAAAAAAAAAAAAAAAAAAGAAAATTCTCTTCAGTGAAATTAACTTAAGGTTGGGAGTTCCTGCTCCTTTGGAAATGGACTATATTCCTTTTCTCTTCCCCAAAGCTTGTCTAACCTCCCTCCCAATTAGTTTTTCCAACAGATACGCATCATAAATCTAAGGGGCATTTTCAGGTCACTTGATGGTATAATTATTAAAGGCATATATATTGGTGCATATATATTAGAAATGTTATCTTAAAATCTTCTGTGAGAAAGTTAGTTATTAAAAAAAAAAAAAAATCAACCCACAGCATGCAGTATTCTTTTACTTCTATGCTTAAAGCAATGATGTGAGCTAAGAAATTTGGTCCGCCGGGCGCGGTGGCTCAAGCCTGTAATCCCAGCACTTTGGGAGGCCGAGACGGGTGGATCACGAGGTCAGGAGATCGAGACCATCCTGGCTAACACAGTGAAACCCCGTCTCTACTAAAAAATACAAAAAAATAGCCGGGTGAGGTGGCGGGCGCCTGTAGTCCCAGCTACTCAGGAGGCTGAGGCAGGAGAATGGCGAAAGCCCGGGAGGCGGAGCTTGCAGTGAGCTGAGATCCGGCCACTGCACTCCAGCCCGGGCGGCAGAGCGAGACTCTGTCTCAAAAAAAAAAAAAAAAAAAAAAAAAAAAAAGAAATTTGGTCCTTATTCTTTTGGCCCCTCAGAAGAAATGTTCCCTAAATATGGCTTTGAATTTTCCAATTGCACAGAGAACCTTCCTGAGCCCAAGCGTTGCACCCTGCTATAGTTTTCTTCTTAAAGACACTCTTAGTTTTTATGCAATGTTTGTCTTCTGTATATTTTCTTTTTTAAAAGAGGATTAATATGAACACAGTGCAAATTGTGGCCCTTGCATATTAAGATGAAACAGTTTCCATGGAAACTCTAGTGTGAGGCTCTGTGGTCCCTGCGGACCCAGTCACTTGTGTCTCTCTCTCTTCCAGCTCCCCCTGTGTGACTACTACAGCATTTACCTCAGCCACCTCTTCAACCATGGTAAAATCAACTCCACTGGGCTGCTGTCGGGCTATGGCCTCCAGCTTAAGACGGTACTGTTCTGCCTCCTGCTCTTTCTTTAGGAGCTGGTGTCGGTATTCCTGGGCTCTTCGATTGGCCTCCAGGAGTTGTTGCTGTAGTAGCTCTCTTTCATTGCCTTCCTGGAAAAGTAAGCCATGTCACCACCAAGTAAATTCCTGATCATAAATTATCCAGACAGTAGACAAAAAGATAGGCAGTGCCTCACACCTATAATGCAAGCACTTTGGGAGGCGGACACGGGCAGATTACCTGAGGTCAGGAGTTCGAGACCAATTTGGCCAACACGGTGAAACCCCGTCTCTACTAAAAATACAAAAATTAGCCAGGCATGGTGGCAGGTGCCTGTCATCCCAGCTACTCAGGAGGCTGAGGCATGAGAATCACTTGAGCCCGGGAGGCGGAGGTTGCAGTGAGCTGAGATCATGCCACTATACTCCAGCCTGGGCAGCAGAGCAAGGCTGTGTCTCAAAAAGGAAAAAAAAAAAAAAGATGAAGAAGGGTTCAGGCCTTAATAATTTGGCTTTAAATTCTTTTCATCACTCCTAAAAACATTACCTTGCTTTCCTCCACACTGTTTGTCATCTCTCCTATCCTTGGTTTCTTTGTTAGTGGCAACTTCTCTTCTTCTTCCTCTTTAATTACAGTCTCCTCTGCAACCTGACCAGCAGGTACAGTTAGAACTACAAGTCAAAGGACACCAATTGGAGGTGATGAATGCATAAGAAAACAAAGAAGTTTTGCTTGCTTTTAATAAGAAAATAAACTAAAATATATTCCACGTTGGGTGCAGTGGTGTGTGCCTGTGGTCCTAGCTGCTCAGGCAGCTGACTGGAGGACTTCTTGAGTCCAGGAGCTCAAGGCTAGCCTAGGCAACACAGCAAGACCCCATCTCAACAAAAAAGCAAAGAAAGAGAAAGTAAATGGCCAGGCACGGTGGCTCAAGCCTGTAATCCCAGCACTTTGGGAGGCCGAGATGGGCGGATTATGAGGTCAGGAGATTGAGAACATCCTGGCTAACACAGTGAAACCCGTCTCTACTAAAAAATACAGAAAAACTAGCCGGGCGAGGTGGCGGGCACCTGTAGTCCCAGCTACTCGGGCCACTGCACTCCAGCCTGGGCGACAGAGCGAGACTCCGTCTCAAAAAAAAAAAAAAGAAAGAAAGAGAAAATAAAATATATTATTTGATATATTATTTTAAATATCTCTTCGAAGTTTAGAATCAACAGGTAAGGCATGGCCCTTCAGGAAGAAATAAAAAAGATTAATAGAGCACTAAGAACGGCTCTAAAAAGAAGGGTATAGATTTGCAGGCTTGGAAGCCATGCAAGTAAGTCCCAAGTCTGAGGCTCTTATATGAAGGTGTCTGACTCTAGGTCAGCTATGGCCAAGTAGCTTATTAATTTGCCCAGAAATGGCAGGGCGAGGTGGCTCACACCTATAATTCTAGCATGTGGGGAAGCTAAGGTGGGAGGATCACTTGAGCCCAGGAGTTCAAGACCAGCTTGGGCAACATGGCAAACACGGTCTCTGCAAAAAAATACAAAAAATTATCCAGGCATGGTGGAGCATGCCTGTAATTCCAGCTACTTGGGAGGCTGAAGTGGGAGGATCACTTGAGCCTGGGAAGTTGAGGCTGTAGTGAGCCAAGAACTCGACATTGCACTCCAGCCTGGGCGACAGAGTGAGACCCTGTCTTCAAACAAACAAACAAACAAACAAACAAACAAACAAAAAAACTGCAGAATTAATCTGTCCAAAGAAGGCCTGAAGTCTTTATATATTTTTGAGACCTCTAATAAAAGCCAATAGCCATTATCTGTACCTAAATTAATTATCTTCTCATAGATAAGTGAGAGAAGGGTCAACACATACACAACACACATGACACACTACACATCTGTCAGAATGGCTAAAAGTTTTTTTTTTGTTGTTTGTTTGTTTGTTTTTTAAGACGGAGTTTTGCTCTTGTTGCCCAGGCTGGAGTACAATGGCATGATCTCGGCTCACTGCAACCTCCGCTTTCTGGGTTCAAGCTATTTCCTGCCTCAGCCTCCTGAATAGCTGGGATTACAGGCATGCCCCACCACACCCAGCTAATTTTGTATTTTTAGTAGAGATGGGTTTTCTCCATGTTGGTCAGTCTGGTCTCGAACTCTTGACCTCACATGATCCACCTGCCTCAGCCTCCCAAAGTGCTGGGATTACAGGCATGAGCCACCACGCCCAATCTTTTTTTTTTTTTTTGCGAAGAACTCTCACTCTATAGGCCAGGCTGGAGTGCAGTTGCACAATCTCAGCTCACTGCAACCTCCACCTCCAGGGTTCAAGCAATTCTTCTGCCTCCTGAGTAGCTGGGACTACAGGCGCATGCCATCACACACAGTTAATTTTTGTATTTTTAATAGAGACAGGGTTTCTCCATGTTAACCAGACTGGTCTTAAACTCCTGACCTCAGATATTCTACCCGCCTCGGCCTCCCCAAGTGCTGGGATTACAGGCGTGAGCCGCTGCGCCAGGCTAAAAGTTTTTAAAAATGTGATACCAAATGCTGGAGAGGATGTAGACAAAGTGGATTATTAATAAATTGCTAGTGGGAATGTAAAATGGTAAAGCCACTCTAGAAAATAGTTTGGCCGACTTGGAGCGGTGGCTCATGTCCTGTAATCCCAGCACTCTGGGGGGCTGAGGCAGGCAGATTGCCTGAGCTCAGGAGTTTGAGACCAGCCTGGCCAACATGGCGAAACCTCATCTCTACTAAAAATACAAAAATCAGCCGGGTGTGGTGGCACCCACCTGTAATTCCAGCTACTCGGGAGGCTGAGGCAGGAGAATCGCTTGAACCTGGTATGAGGAGGTTGCAGTTAGCTGAGATAGTGCCACTGCACTCCAGCCTGGGTGACAGAGTGAGACTCCATTTGAAAAAAAAAAAGAAAGAAAGAAAAAGAAAATAGTTTGCCAGTTTCTTTCTTTTCTTTTCTTTCTTTCGGGTTTTTTTTTTTTTTTTTTTTTTTTGAGATGGAGTTTCATTCTTATTGTCCAGGCTGGAGGGCAATGGTGCGATCTCGGCTCACTGCAACCTCTGCCCCTGGTTCAAGCGATGCTCCTGCCTCAGCCTCCTGAGTAGCTGGGATTACAGGCATGTGCCACCACAACCAGCTAATTTTGTATTTTTAGTAGAGATGGGGTTTCTCCACGTTGGTCACGCTGGTCTCGAACTCCCGACCTCAGGTGATCTGCCCGAGTTTGGCAGTTTCTTAAAAAACAAAACAAAACACATACTTACCATATGATCCAGCAATTGTACTCTCAGGCATTTATCCCAGAGAACAGAAAATTTATTTCCCATTTCTTTTTTTCTTGAGACGGAGTCTGGCTCCACCCAGGCTGCATTGGTGTGCAGTGGCATGATGTTGGCTCACTGCAACCTCCACCTCCCAGGTTCAAGCAATTCTTGTACCTCAGCCTCCCAAGTAGCTGGGATTACAGGTGCCTGCCACTACACCTAACTAATTTTTGTATTTTTAGTAGAGATGGGGTTTTGCCATGTTGGGCAGGCTGGTCTCAAACTCCTGATTTCAGGTGATTCACCTACCTTTGCCTCCCAAAGTGCTGGGATTATAGGCTTGAGCCACCATGCCTGGCCTATTTCCCATTTCTTTTTTCTTTTTTCTTTTTTTTTTGAGACAGAGTCTCGCTGTGTCTCCAGGCTGGAGTGCAGTGGCACAATCTCGGCTTACTGCAACCTCCGCCTCCCGGGTTCAAGAGATTCTCCTCAGCCTCCCAAGTAGCTGGGACTATAGGCACATGCCACTACGTCCAGCTAATTTTTGTATTTTTAGTAGAGATGTGGTTTCACCATATTGGCCAGGATGGTCTCGATCTCTTGACCTTGTGATCCACCCACCTTGGACCTCCCAAAGTGCTGGGATTACAGGTGTCAGCCACTGAGCCTGGCCCTATTTCCCATTTCTTGTCTCCCATAAGAACATGTAAATAATTATGGTGTTCATGATGCTTTATTTATTTATTTATGTATTTATTTATTTTATGAGACAGAGTCTCACTCTGTTTCCCAGGTTGGTGTGCAGTGCACAATTATGTTTCACAGCAGCCTCAACCTCCTGGCCTCCAGTGACCCTTCGAAGAAGCTGGGACCACAGGCACACACCAGCATGCCTGGCTAATTTTTTTTTTTTTTGTATTTTTTTTTTAGAGATGGGTTTTGTCGTGTTGTCCAAGCTGATTTCAAACTCCTGGGCTTAAGCTATCTGCTGGCGTAGGCCTCCCAAAGTGCTGGGATTATAGGCGTGAGCCACTGTGCCCAGCCAGTTTTATTTTTAGATAGCTGATAGTGGAAGCAACTTAAATGTCCTTCATTGGGTAAATGGTTAAACAAACTGTGGTAAATCCATATCATAGAATAATACTCAGCAATAAGAAGGAATGAACTATTGATTCAAACAACTTGGATGGGTATCAAGGGAATTATGCTGAGAGGAAAAAAGCCAATCTCAAAATCATATATATTGTATGATTCCACTTATATAACATTCTTGAAATGACAAAGTAGAGGATGGGTGCAGTGGCTCATGCCTGTAATCCCAGCACTTTGGGAGGCCAACGCGGGTGGGCAGATCACCTGAGGTCAGGAGTTCGAGACCAGCTTGGCCAACATGGCAAAACCCCATCTCTACTAAAAATGCAAAAAATTAGGTGAGCATGGTGGCATGTGCCTGTAATCCCAGCAATAGGGGATTTCTCTGTATTATTTCTTAGAACTGTACTGAATCTTTAATGATGTAAAAATAAAAAGTTAAAAATTATATTTAGGTTTTAGGATATATTACGATTATTTTAAAACAGAAGATTTGGTCAGACATGGTGGCTCATGCCTGTAATCACAGCATTTTGGGAGGCCAATGTGGGAGGATCGCTTGAGTCTAGGAGTCTGAGACCAGCCTGGGAAGCTTAGCAAGAACTCATTTCTATTAAAAAATAATTCGGGGGCTGGGCGCAGTGACTCATGCCTGTAATTCCAACACTTTGGCAGGCTGAGGTGGGCAGATCACGAGGTCAAGAGATCAAGACCATCTTGGCCAACATGGTGAAACCCTGTCACTACTAAAATACAAAAAAAAAATTTTTTTTTAATTAGCCGGGTGTGGTGGTACACACCTGTGGTCCCAGCTACTCAGGAGGCTGAGGCAGAGGAATCGCTTGAACCTGGGAGGCAGAGATTGCAGTGAGCTGAGACCACGCCACTGCACTCTAGCCTGGTGACAGAGTGAGACTCTGTCTCAAAAAACAAAAAACAAAAACAAAAACAAACAAACAAACAAAAATTGGGAACTCCTTCCTTTGACCTCATTGTACTTTTGAGAGCAAGATGGGTTACCAGCAGCTCTACTGGAGCCACCCACAAAAATTCAGCCAGGGTTCTTGTTCTTGTCATATCTGTTCAAACCAGCATAGTCGGCTGGGCGCAGTGGCTCACATCGGTAATACCAGCACTTTGGGAGGCCGAGGTGGGCAGATCACAAGGTCAAGAGTTCAAGACCAGCCTGACCAACATGGTGAAACCCCATGTCTACTAAAAATACAAAAAATTAGCCAGGCGTGCTAGAGAACACCTGTAATCCTAGCTACTCGGGAGGCTGAGGCAGGAGAATTGCTTGA